CCATAGCGGGGCCCGCGAGCCGCGTGCGACTCTTATGCAAATAAAATGTATGTATGAAATATGGTAAACTAAAACTGATAAATGTCCAAAAGTAATTATTTTATTTCATTTCTTGTTACAAAGTTATTAGTAAACTAAAACTTTAAAAAATTGAACTGATTTTTCAGTTTCTCATTGTTCGTTTTGTTATCAAAGATAAATAATCGGCTTTTTCAAATATTCCCCTTGAAATGTGGCTTCCAAAGGTAGTGTAACTGACCACCCCTGATATATACAATTATATATAAAATTGAAGGTTTCCTATTTTATAATATTACTTATTATTTTTTTTATATTTGAAGGTTTCATTTGGAGCCTCAATAGTATTATAAGTGACAATCTTGAATTGCAGAAGCAAAGCTTCAAAAGTTAGAATTAATATCGAATTTTATTAAGAATAATTTGTGTTACAAGCGTGTCGTTACATTTTGAACTTATACGAAAGGATACTTAAATTGTATAGTACCTGTTTCCAAAAGAAAAGGCGGGTGCTCTGCCTCGTTTCGAATCTGGAACAGTTTTTCCTAAACATTTCATTTGTGTTTAGTAATAAATTTTAACGAATTGTAATCATAAACGTGAGATGCTACTGTATCGAAAAAATTACCAATTAGTGGCGGTAATGTTACACAAGCAGGACCTGGACTACTGTATTCTGCAGCGATTGGACCTCGTCTTTTCGTTGGTGTCCACGGCCTTTGCGTCATGCCACCCATGTTTTCAATGGTGTACTTTTACTTTTTCCTAAAAGGGAAACAAATAAAGGAAACTTTTCCAATATTGCATATATCTGATAATCTTCTGTTTTATAACATTTTAAATACTTATTATCATCGTCATTTCTTTTACAAGTTTGAACGCTTCTTTTTTAGCATCGTAATATTATGATATAAAACAAATAACAAGTAAAATAGTAAATAAAAAAAAAATTATTAGTAATATGATAATAGAAAATTTGAAGTTTCTTTTAAATTTTATATCATTTTATAATATTAGGATGTTTTATAAAGAACAAAAAGTTTCAGACTCCTTGAAACTACAATCCGTTTGAACAAATCAATTTAACTCCCATGACTGTACCGTACTACTAAATGTCGCGAAAACCTATCAAACATAATTAGACTTCAATTTAGTCGGATGAAAGACTCTTTTTTTCAATAACTTAATCATAGAAAAATCTACTGTACCGACTATAATTCATCAATTACTTCCTGATCGACCTACCTAACGCCCTCTAAACCATATAACTTTCCTTCTCCATCTTCGACGCTAAGTCGATGTATAGAGGATATACACACATAAGTAGAACAGTTATACTTTTTTTCACAAGATAAACGAAGAGATCTCTTTGGAATTGTGCAACGAACGCGGCCTCGAGAGACGGGCCACGATGAAACGACTCACGAACAGCCATATAAGAATATGTCCATGGTGGGTATACAGAATCGCCCACCATTCGACATTGGACTGAATAAAACATGAATATCACAAATTGTATAGCGTTTAAACAAGCCAAATAAATGCAGGTCAAACGAATGACTCATGATCAACTTATAGTACTTTGTAGATACACACATGGTATAGTAATGACGTTCTAATAATTGCAAGTGGTACAATCTTCAAGCGGCACGGATTATGGAAATTTATGTGAATTGTATTAGGAGCATAAGACAACATTTTCAATCGATACTTGGAACACTATAATCTATATGCGCAGGTTTGAAATTTGCTGTAGTCGGTAGGTTTTTTAGATCGATTCAATCATGTTCTCAATTCCCTTGAAAACGTCAATGGTTCTCAATCTCTTTGAAAATTTGTTTTTTACGAAAATTCTTTTAGAAAGATACATATATAATTTGCGTTTCTTATGATATTTTTTTAGTTACTTTTAAAGAGAGAGGTAAGAAATTTCTCTAATCAACACTTATGCATAAGGTGAACGACAAACTTGAAATTAATCGATTGTACAATAAGTGTAACAACGTTCGATATTGACTCTCGCTGATGCATGAAATATCGATTGATCTTCGTAACACCGTGTATCAAATCGAATTTGCAATCACCAATCACATTCATTTCAATTGCAATTGTGAAATATTTGCATATGATTCATCGTCTTGTATGCACGACACCAGTGCAAATTAAAGGATCACCAGGATAAAAATAATCGTTAGCAAACTTGTATTTTAACCCTTTAATGTCTAGATGAAATTATAATATAATCTAAATCATATTAATTTCGTTTTGTTGTTTCTTTTTAATTTTATTTCTAATATT